CGTCAGGATTTGACTGACGTTATTATGGCGTCATGGATGCCTGGGCAACCTTGAAATAGTCTCCTCGAAATAATCTGGACATCTTCGCGGGCGTATAGCTCAAAACCTAGAGGGACTTAGGTCTTAAGAAGGTCAGGGCTGTGAAATGCACGGAATGATGTTCAAAATGACTATTTCAGTTAAAATATCCATGTTTAAAACCCCGTAGAGATGTGACACAGTCCCTTTCCTGTAAGCGCTTATGTTAACTGATGCAGATTGTGCCGCGCGAGTTGCTGGACAATACAAGGCAAGCCAATCATGTCAGCAAATATGTATGTTAGCAACGAAGCCCAACATTTTCGGAGTTCTTGCATGATGAAATTGTCCCGAGCCTCTGTGCTCCGTGGTGGCTGGTGGTTCTGTCCCGCGGCGACTGGCTGCGCTGCGTCAGCGTGCCTACGAGCATTGCGGCACAGCATAAGTGCCAGCTGCTAGAGAGGAGCAGCGTGTGGACCGGATGTCTGATCCGAGATCCGAGAAAGGGATTCTGGACCGTCATCTTGAACGCTGAATCTCAAATCTCCAAAATGAAATTTGAGTGACAAATTTCATACAGGGTTCTTTCACAACCTGATCTAATATACCTTTGTGCGAGGGACCCGCAACATGCCGTATTCTCATTATAGTTTGGTCACGGGATCTTGCATGTTACACGACCAACGGTGAAATGTATTCTCAGAATCTCGTAAGAATATTCCAATTGACCGTTTCTTATTGACTCTCATTTTACTTGCAAGAGGTTGACGAAACTGTAACAGAGCTGTCAAAGCACAACAGAACTCTTTGCTACATGCCTGCCAATGCACCAAGCGGTTAAAGGCCTGATGAGCCTGGCCTAGATCTTATCTGATCTCCTTATATCACCTGATCTTATCATATCATCTAATCAACCGATTATAACTGGTCTGGATTTTGTGGCTGCCTATATCTTTTGTGCGTGTTAATTTTACGCCCCAATTTTGAAGCGTTGCATTTTAAAACCTGTCCCCTGGTAAGACACGCAGCTATCGGACTCGGTGATCAAGTGGGAATTTGTCCAAATAGGTGAGAACAGCTTTCCGATGAACCGAAAGATATTTTACGACGTTCCGAGTCGTGATTTTCGTACATCCGATGAACACATGATAGTTGCCAAAGAATCTGTCGTAATTCTGGGTCGTGAGAAGTGAGCGGGCCGCAACTCTCAGCACTTGATGACACGTGAAGAGACTTCATATTTGAATGAGCGGAGCCATGCGGCCCTCCTAGCGTTGTTTGCGAGTCTGCGGCTTCGTCGGGAAGAAAGTTTTCTTTTATTACTTATGGCTGCGAATCATAACGCATAGCGATATGAGTTTAGAGATTGCTGGCTAGAACAAAGCCGCATATTTTGAGATTCGGGTCGTTATTTAGCTGTCTCATTTTGCATTGCTGTTGCACATGAACGTTTCCCGACCAACACCGCATGGCAATAGGCGCTCATTGCAAGCAAAGTAGAACATCTAGATGGACCAAATATACTTCAAACAGCGCTAAGCTGGTACTCCAACACAGCTCCTAACATTGCTCCAACTCAAATATATTTACTAGGATACTAAAGCATGAATGATTATTAGCAGAATGCCATCCCTGTGCCATTCGAATTATCGCAAGAAAATTTTTATTGCCTGGAAGCAGTCTGCTGATCGGTCCAATGTCAAGATCAATTCGTCAGTCGGTCAAGGTGTCAGAGGTACTGTAGATTTTGCATTTTACGATGGGGCTCACCCGGCTCTTCCCCCAGATGCCTTATTGGCGTTGACAGCAAGGCGCCTTATGAATCCTGAATCTATCTAGAATCTACTTGTGGCGTATCTCAGGGCTCGTGACCGATTTGTGGAGAGATGCCACAGGTCCAAGATCCGTGTGTATATTTTTACGAAGGTCAAAGAGATCCGGGATCCGCTTTTGGTGACGACACCGACATCCGGCCTTGACATCTCGGCCCCGCAAAGCAAGCTTATTGAAATGGGTGGACATGACCCTCAGATCGGTAACAATGATGTGAGAGCCCTACCTCGGACTCGCGATAGGCCAAGTTATAGGACCAGGCAAAACGGATACAAATGTTATAGGACCAGGCAAAACGGATACAAATGTTATAGGACCAGGCAAAACGGATACAAATGTTATAGGACCAGGCAAAACGGATACAAATGTTATAGGACCAGGCAAAACGGATACAAATGTTTTAGGACCAGGCAAAACGGATACAAATGTTATAGGACCAGGCAAAACGGATACAAATGTTATAGGACCAGGCAAAACGGATACAAATGCACACTTGCTCTCTAAATGCACGAATGGAAATCTGCACTGCATTTGTACATGATATGAATTATTCGCATACACTGTATGCACAGGTGATTTAACTCCATTTTCGTGTGATATGTGATGCGTAGGCCTGCATTGGACATTATGTCCAAGACCAAGATGAGCGTCAAAATTCAAATGAGCAAGAAAAAGACAGTCTTAAGAATGATCCATTCATTAAAGACTGGCAACGCTGCAAGCTATTGGGTACGTTGGGTCCCTCAATGCACCATGTTTGCAAATACCTGCACTCCTCCCCTTCGGCCGAGGGTAGTCGGAGAGCGCCACAGTACCTGTCATGTTTGCAAATACCTGCACTCCTCCCCTCCGGCCGAGGGTTGTCGGGGAGCGCCACAGTGCCTGTCATGTTTGCAAATACCTGCACACCTCCCTTCCGGCCGAGGGTTGTCGGAGAGCGCCACAGTGCCTGTCATGTTTGCAAATACCTGCACTCTTCCCCTCCGGCCGAGGGTTGTCGGAGAGCGCCACAGTACCTGTCATGTGTGCCAATACCTGCACTCCTCCCCTCCGGCCGAGGGTTGTCGGAGAGCGCCACAGTACCTGTCATGTTTGCAAATACCTGCACTCCTCCCCTCCGGCCGAGGGTTGTCGGAGAGCGCCACAGTACCTGTCATGTTTACAAATACCTGCACTCCTCCCCTCCGGCCGAGGGTTGTCGGAGAGCGCCACAGTGCCTGTCATGTTTGCAAATACCTGCACTCCTCCCCTCCGGTCGAGGGTTGTCGGAGAGCGCCACAGTACCTGTCATGTTTACAAATACCTGCACTCCTCCCCTCCGGCCGAGGGTTGTCGGAGAGCGCCACAGTGCCTGTCCCGACGCGCGCACACAGCCGGCTTTTCTTGAGCAGCTTCTAAGCCGCTTGAGTATGCGGTTCTAACGTTGGTATCTGAACAACAGCATGTTTAAAATATCCCGGCCATCGTGGTTGATGAGCTATGACCCTATGACCCCTTTGTTGAGGGCGTGCCACTTGGTTTTTGGGCCCAGGTGCTAAATGAGGTTCATTTCTCCATGAATAGTGTGCATGAAAGAGTTATATGCCGCGTTCTTTCGCTGTGTTATGAAACTCTCGGAAGATGTGGTGCTAGTAAACATCACTTGAAAGCTTACCGTGTTCAAGGACGTACAGAATAAGAATTGGTCCTATATTTGACCTTCGTGCCTTCTTTCATATACCAAATATCGTATTAGCCGACATTTGATGAAGCGCTTGTGCGTAGTTTGACGAGAGCTACCAGGCGATCTTTCTCTGTTACATTCACCGTGCTGCTTTCGTGAGATAACGGATGCTCATTCGGCAAAGCGCTTAGTTGACCCGATACGACCCATAGTGGCTTATGTCTAACGATCGCCTGTGCTAAGCTCACGACACAGGTGCCAATGTGAACTCGCGTTGCTTTCTTTGCTGCAGAACCACGTAGTCTTTGAATTGCAAAGACCAGCCTAAACACACTATTTTGGCCTTAGTGATATGAAGGTTTGACTCGTGACATGCCAGCTGTACCGGGCCACTGATAACATCCGATTTAGTGTTAACGAACGCCTTCCGATCTAGCTTTTCGCCCGCGTTTGCCATCCTCAGTGTTAGATATACTGCTTTTGGACTGGCGCAACGAGAAAACGTGGTGCGGTGAGATGCGCAATTTACCCAGTATCCAAGTGAGTTCTTCAACAAATATAATGTCACGAGCACTTTCCCTTGTCAATTTCGGGCGAATGGCTCTCCAGCTTTTAAAAGCAGCTTTTTCCGATAACCACGATGGTGAGGCAAAGTCAAATAATATGCTGCTAGAATCTACGCGGCCTGTCCGATGGTCGCATCTGCAGCCCCCCTGGTACTCGATAGTCGCATCTGCAGCCCCTCTGGTACTCGATGGTCGCATCTGCAGCCCCTCTGGTACTCGATAGTCGCATCTGCAGCCCCTCTGGTTCTCGATAGTCGCTTCCGTAGCCCCCGTGGTACTCGATGGTCGCATCTGCAGTTCCTCTGGTACTCGATAGTCGCATCTGCAGCCCCTCTGGTACTCGATAGTCGCTTATGTAGCCCCTCTGGTACTCGATAGTCGCTTCTGTAGCCCCCGTGGTACTCGATGGTCGCGTCTGCAGTTCCTCTGGTACTCGACAGTCGCTTCTGTAGCCCCCGTGGTACTCGATAGTCGCTTCTGTAGTCCCTCTGGTACTCGATAGTCGCTTCTGTAGCCCCCGTGGTACTCGATGGTCGCGTCTGCAGTTCCTCTGGTACTCGATGGTCGCGTTTGCAGCTCCTCTGGTACTCGATGGTCGCGTCTGCAGCTCCTCTGGTACTCGATGGGCGTGTCTGCAGTTCCTCTGGTACTCGATGGTCGCGTCTGCAGCTCCTCTGGTACTCGATGGTCGCGTTTGCAGCTCCTCTGGTACTCGATGGTCGCGTCTGCAGCTCCTCTAATGCTCGGGTAGCTGCCGCGGACGACATGCTGTTCAGCTATATCACTTGTGAGATGCTCGTGTTATCGGACCGATGACAGGTGGCCGGGTGCCAGCTCCGCACTACAGCCGAATGCCTGTCGTGTCGCCACCTCATCTCGCCGGTGCTGCGCGCCATCACGCCCGCCGACATGCTCGGCAG